CTGATGAAGATTTAATTTCCTCATGTTTACCATATCTGAGTAATTGAAATTTCTCATCGTTGAACTTCATATTGTTTTCTGCAGCCCACTGAAAGATTTGGTTGATGTCTGCCTGGAGCTTTGCAGTGTCTGCAATGGAAGACACTGTCATGCAGATTCGGGTGTCATCTGCAAAGGAAGACACGGTGCTGTGGCTGACATCCTTGTCTATGTCGGATATAAGGATGAGGAACAAGATGGGAGCGAGTACTGTGCCTTGTGGAACAGAGCTTTTCACCGTAGCTGCCTCGGACTTTACTCTGTTGACGACTACTCTCTGTGTTCTGTTAGTGAGGAAATTATAGATCCATCGACCGACTTTTCCTGTTATTCCTTTAGCACGCATTTTGTGCGCTATAACGCCATGGTCACACTTGTCGAAGGCTTTGCAAAGTCTGTATATATTACATCTGCATTCTTTTTGTCTTCTAGTGCATTTAGGACCTTGTCGTAGTGGTCCAATAGTTGAGACAGACAGGAGCGACCTGTTCTAACCCATTTTGCCTGGGTTGTGTAACTGATGGTTTCTAGATGCGTGGTGATCTTGCTTCTTGGGACCCTTTCAAAGTTTTTTATGATATGGGATGTAGTGCTATTGGTCTGTAATTCCCTTTGCGTTGCTTTACTGCCCCCTTTGTGGAGTGGGGCTATGTCTTTTTGTTTTTAGTAACTGTGGGACGACCCCCGTGTCCATGCTCCCTCTCCTAGGATGGAAAGGCTCGTGATAGGGGCTTCTTGCAGTTCTTGATGAACACAGAGTTCCATGAGTCTGGCCCTGGGCAGAGTGCATGGGCATGCCCATTTATCGCCTGTTCGAAGTCATTTGGCGTCAGGAAACATCGGATAGGCTGTGTTAATCAAATTTTGTGGGCTCTCTCATAAAATCATTTTGATCTTCGACTCTCAGTCTGGTTAGCGGCTTGCTAAAAACTGATTTCATATTGGGACTTGAGTAGCTCACTCATTCCTTGTTGTCATCTGTGTAGGACCCATCTTGTTTAAGTAGGGGCCCAATACTGGACGTTGTTCTCGATTTGATTTGCATGGGAGAAGAAATACTTTGGGTTTCTTTCGATTTCATTTAATGGCTTTTAGTTCTTCCCGCGATTCCTGACTCCAAAGGATTCTTTTAGCTTAAGTTCGATGTTTTCCCATTTTTTCTGCCAGTGTTTTCCCTACGCATTTCAGATATATTGACCTCTTTTAGCCGCTCTGTTATTCTTTTCCGTCGCCTGTAAAGGGAGCGCCTGTCTCTTTCTGTTTTAACATCTACTCCTCCTTTTTTTTAGAGGAATAAGCCTTGTGCATACATCGAGTGCTACCGAGTTTATCTGTTCTAGGCATAAGTTGGGGTCTGTGTTGCTTAGTATATCTTCCCAGCTTATATCGGTTAGGACTTGGTTTACTTGGTCCCTTTTTTCTTTATGTTTTTGTTATTGAAGTTGAATTTGGTGAATGCTCCCTCGTGACTAATCTCATTATGTCGGTCTGGGGCTCCGGGGCATACATGACTGAACCTCAATTATGTTGTGATCTGAGTTATATTTTTTTTGGATATGGTGATATTTCTTATCAGATCATCTTTGGTTAGTGAAGATGGGGTCTATGTATTCCTCCAGTCTAGTGGGCCCTCTATTTTTCCCTGGTTTAAATTGAATTTTTGTGCAGAGATTTAAAAGCTCGCGTTGAGTGTAGTTTTCATCAGAGCTGCCTCCTGGTGTTATTACTGCAACAATATTATTTGCTAAAATTCCTCCATTTTAGGTGCCTTAAAGTTGAAATCCCCCAGGAGCAAGATGTTGGGTGCAGGAGCGGGGAAGGTTTTCCAGACAGGGGTCAATTTTTAACAGCTGTTCCTGGAATTGCTGGGATGTTGCATCCGGAGGCTTGTAGACTATCACAATGACTGGGTTTTTGGGTTTTCCGACCTTTACTGCAAAAAACTTCCACTACATCATTTGAGGCATTTAGCAGTTCTGTGCAAACAAGTGACTCTGCAATGTACAGCCAACCCCCCCCTTTTTTGCCTGTTCACTCTGTCACATCTGTATAGGTTGAAACCCTGGGATCCATATTTCGTTGTCCAAGTGATCCTTTTGTGGGTCTCAGTGAAAGCCGCGAACATTGCCTTTGCCTCTGCAAGCAGTCCACTGACACAGCAGTCCCACTGACACAGCTAACAAATAAACGACTTCTTCTCAACCATGGGATCTAATCCGCCAGTAAAATCCCACATACCAATGCCCATGCCGGGACTACCTAGAGGGGAATTTCCCTAATTCCTTCTATCTTGCACCAACTGAGCCCACGGAAGTCACTGAGATTATAAAGTCACTTAAAAAATAACTCGGGGAATCTGTTCATGTCCCACCATTAACTGTACAAGCGAGCGGCCCTGTCCTTTCGCATGCTATTTCATTACTTTTAAAAAGCACTAGAGACTAGCACCTTCCCGAAACTACTCAGATGGCAAGGTTACCCAATACATAAAGGTGGTGACCCTACAACTTAAACAACTATCCCCAATACTAACTTCCATTGCTATCCAAAATCTTTGAGAAACTCATGCACAGAGACTGTATTCATTTATAAGGCTCAAAACATACTCAACCCCTGCCAATTTGGATTCAGAAAAATAAAGCACTAATGAGCAATCATAAAATGCTAGATCTGCTTTACACAGCATTGGAAAATAAGGAATATCCACTAGAATTTTTATTGACCAAAAGAAAACTTTTGACACAGTAGACCACGACATCCTACTCCACAAACTTGATCATTAGGGTATAAGAGGCCATCCCGCTTGCTTTTTCAAATCTTACATTACTAATATAGGTATCAGTATTCACCATTAAGACACAGCATCAGCAACACGGCCACTTGATACTGGAGTTCCGCAGGGAAGTGTCCTTGGTCCCCTGCTCTTCCTCATATACATCAATGACATTCCAAACGTATCCCAACACCTGAAACCCATTCTCTTTGCGGGATGACACGACTTATGTCATCTCTCACCCAATCTGCCACCCTCAACACCATTGGAATGGGGAGCTGATTAAATATCGACTTGGATGACACCCAAATAAACTTACGCTTAACACTGACAAACCTACTATATTATGTTTGGTACAGAGCGGGAGATGCACAAATTAACATTAAGATTGACAACACTCTAATTACTAGAAATAATGGGGGAAAATTTCCCTAGGCTTATACCTTGACAACAACCTGAATTTCAGCACCCATATCCAGCATATAACCAAAAAAGTATCCAAAAGGGTTGGGGATCCTCTCCAAGAAAACGATACTACGTGCCGCAAAATGCCCTTCTCACACTATACCACCACTTATTTATTCATACCTCACCTATGCTATTTGTGTTTGGGGGATCAACTGCAGCAACTCACCTAAAGCCAAAAAATAACCCAAAAAAAAGCTGCAGTAAGAATAATCACTAAATCCCATCCCTGGCAACACACCCCCCACTCTTAAATAGACCTAAACTTACTCCCAGTTCAGTACATCCACACTTACTACTGTGCAATCTACATCTACAGGCCTTAAACTCTAATATCAACCTTGACCTAAAATGCTTTCTTGATAGTTTGTGACAGAACCCACAGGCATAACACCAGACAAAAAACATCTCTACGACATTCCCCGTGTCCGACTAAACCTTTACAAAAATTCAATGTATGTCAAAGGCCCTAAAATCGGAATACTCTACCTGAGAACTCTAGAACTGCAGACACATTCATCACCTTCAAAACTACCTTTAAAAACATCTATCTCCCTATACCCCCCGTCAACTAACTACAACGATACCACCTGGTGGTTCACACTTACACTCACTCACTCATTTGACCAAAAACAGAAATATAATCTCAATCTTAAAATAAGAATCCTGTGATACTCTAAAAACTGAAACTAGTACTGTCCAAAACAAAAGCATTCACATTGCTAAACTCACAAACTAGTATTTAGTCACTTAGCCATAATACCAACTTACCTCATAATTTGTAATATTTTACAATTAAGAATAAAACTAAGTCTGCCCGAAATGCCTAGCCATGCTAAGCGTTCTAGTGGTACACTCTGTAATCACAATTTTACTACATGTAAACCACACAATAACCAAATTTCTGTAAACTCAACATTGTAATCCTTATAGAGAATAAACTTTGAATTGAATTGAATTGAATTCCATTGCAGACACTGCAAGGCTCCTGACAGACATCAACCAAATCTTTAGACGGGCTGCAGAAAACAATGTGAGTTTACCTGGAGTTCACCTGGAGAGAGTTCCGGGGGTCAACGCCCCCGCGGCCTGGTCTGTGACCAGGCCTCCTGGTGGATCAGAGCCTGATCAACCAGGCTGTTACTGCTGGCTGCACGCAAACCAACGTACGAGCCACAGCCCGGCTGGTCAGGAACTGACTTTAGGTGCTCGTCCAGTGCCAGCTTGAAGACTGCCAGGGGTCTGTTGGTAATCCCCCTTATGTATGCTGGGAGGCAGTTGAACAGTCTTGGACCCCTGACACTTATTGTGTTGTCTGTTAATTTGCTGGTGGCACCCCTGCTTTTCACTGGGGGAATGTTGCATCGTCTGCCGAGTCTTTTGCTTCGTAGGGAGTGATTTTCGTGTGCAAGTTTGATACTAGTCCCTCTAGGATTTTCCAGGTGTATATTTATTTATTTATTTATTTAATAATTTGAACATACATACAGAGGTACAAAAAAAATACAGGTAAGAGCAGCATGCCAAAGCCACTTGTATGCATAGCATTACGGGAAGGCTTAAAATTAACTTAAGATTAACTAAGTGTTACAAAACTCGTCTTCTTAACCTTCTCCAATGTTATGGTAGAGTGTTAAGGTAGCATTCTTATTGAACATATGGCCTGTTTACGGTTTTGCAACAATAACTTTTAATAAGAATTCAGGATTACAAAACAAATAACTAAAACTTAAAATCTTTACTAGTAGAGTTTTAGCTTAATGTATGATATGTTATGATTAACATAAAATAAGGAGTTTAACTCTTACATTTCTCTTGGTACGTACAGTACATTAATATTAATATATGAACCTCTTGAGATTGAGCTGTGTACTAAAATCACCAATAATATGCATCTATAAGGCTTATTAAGACCTAGCCACAAAGTAACTTACAATGCTTATAAAGACTTATCTGAACTATCAATTCAGAGTATACATAACTCGAAAGTTACAAGCTTAAGGAAGGAAGTCAATCATGAAAGAAAAACGACCACCACAGAAAACTTGACATGTCTCTTATGAGAGGTCAATGAGTGAGGTATGCTCCCTTGGCTATGCAAGCCCAGACTAGAAGTGGGAATGCTAGTCAGAGTGAGTGTGAAGGACATACTCTCAGCGAGTGCTATAAAACTACTCAGAGCAAGGGTTGTGAACCTTCTCTGAGCAGGTGCTGTGAACCTACTGCCGGTACCACTGAGTGGTAAGCCGACGTCACGTTGGTCACTTGACTGAGGGGGACTTAAGTACCTGAAGTGCTAACCGGCACTTACACTAGTGGTTTCCCACTACATGACAATATTAAGAACTGCTAACAAAACGTAGTATAATACAATATTGGCATTAGCATATACATTATAAAATAAAGGAGCACATCCTTGTATAAAATGTAACGGGTATGGCCATACTCATAACACTAAGCAATGATGTAATCAGTGATAAAACATTATTGTAAACAGATAACAATAAAGCACAAATGAGTATTACAAAGACAGGTCATATGGTTGCATGCATTGCTGTACATTCAGTAGAATGGAGTATTCTGTTAGGTAGTGTATTTAAAAGATAACAAAGTTAGATTGGGTCATTAATCAATAAGTGTCAGGGGCCCAAGACTGTTCAACTGCCTCCCAGCATACACAAGGGGGATTACCAATAGACCCCAGGCTGTCTTCAAGCAGGCATTAGACAAGCACCTGAAGTCAGTACCTGACCAGCTGGGCTTTGGTTGGTACACTGGATTGCATGCAGCCATCAGTAACAGCCTGGTTGATCAGGCCCTGATCTACCATGAGGCCTGGTCACAGACCGGGCCGTGGGGGTGTTAATCCCCGGAACTCTCTCTTTAGGTAAACTCCAGGTATGGTAGGAGTGTGGTGGCGTATGGTGAGGTGAGGGACTCCAGCCATGCCTGCTCACCCCACACACTTATGGAAATTCCATCACAGTGGATGCAGAAAATACCACAAAACTGACCTCTGACTTGCTGAAATAGCCATGCTGAGCTGAAGCAACATCAGGTGATGCTGAGTGACTTGAAAACAATGTGGGACATTGAAATTTGCAGAAATTCGGCAAATTTCAGCCTGGTTCCCACTTGTACCTGTGTCTGGATGATGAGACTTGCAGACATGACATCAAAATAACTCATTGAGAAACAGATGCTGCTTGCACTGGGCAATGAAGTAGACTACATCTTCAAATTTCTTCCTCTCTCCGGGCAAATACAGCTTCTGCAGCCACCACAAAGCCACCAATATTAACGAAATTGGGGTGTGTTGATTGGTGTAGCAGTGAATGATACTCTTTACTGGGTTCTTGGTAAATAGGCAGCGTGTTTAAATGGCCCTGGGGCCAACCAGGTCCAATCCCATGAAGGAGAGAGTGAGTACACTTGTTGTTTGTAGTTTATCAGATGCATGAGAACAAGGCATGGAGATGCAGGGTGAGCTTGGTAGGCCTGTTTCCCTCTAGATGTTAGCACCAGCATGTCATGAGATATAAAGATGACACAACACAATATATAAACCCCAACTGGGCATACAAATCAGAAAAAATAGCAAAAGATAACGGACATTACATCGACCTTACAAAGATGGGACATGTGCCTCCATACAAAGGCTCTCAACTGTGCAGATGATTACCAGCTCCTGTGCCAGACAGCACACCAAACCACTTTTCAAAAGCCTGAACCTACTAAATATACAAGACACACTCATATTATTGTGCCTACTACATATACAGAACATAAAACTCCAACATAAACCCTCCGCTTAAACTTATCCTTGATAGCTACAAGAGAACGCATGCACAGTCACAATACAAGACACAAGGCACTCTTTGACATCCCTCGTGTCAGTCTCACTACGAGGTAGAAACATCAGAGGTGAGGACTTCATAAGATTTGGATAAAAGGATGCCTGGGAGAGGGTACAACAGGGTCCTGTGGAACCAATTAGCCCTGAAGGAAGAAAGCCATGAAGCTGTTATTGGAAACGGAGTTCAATTACCACCATAGTGTATGATAACCTCTCTTTGAGACAGCAGATTTTGCTTTTAAGAATACTGGAAATCAGCAGGAATATGCAGGATGACATTCTCCACAGTTAAGGTAAAGAGGGGTGGGGTAGGGGAGGGTTGGATTCAGGATGGATTAGCATTATTGACTGCAATGAAGACTGGACATTCTGCAGATCTGCAACATTTGGCACTGGTGAACTGTTGAGTGCAGTTCCTGCACTTATAAGCTCTAACCCACTACATAAACCAAGGATGGAAGGTCCCAGCAATCAAAGGTCTATTTGGCAACATAGATTAGATAAGGGCTTCAACCTTAAGCGGGGCAAACATGTTTCCACTTTGGTGATAAGAGATTATTAAAAATCAAAACTAAGTGCTAAACCCACAGGGATCACACTGCGCTGCAGGCTAGAGTTTGTAAGGGCGGTGAGAAGTGCTAAAAGAAGTATAATTAAAGGTTGAGTAATAAATCTGTTGCTGTCAAAAAGTCAAAGAAGGAGTCTGTGTCAAAGGGGGGGCCATCAACTGAGAGGGAAGTTAAGGTAAGGGTCTTAGAACGGTAATAATGATGGAGGTAAATTCTTCGTGGTCACTGATAGAGAGGACAGTTCAAATGAATATGGCAAACTGAAATTGCAACCTGACAAATCGCACAGTGGAAATGGGCGCCTCTCCATGAGATACCTTTCAGTGAGATGTGTATGCCTGATGTGAGGATGGGAAAGTATATTCTCCCAACCACGATACCAATGATAAGAAGATCAGGATCCTAAACTCAGCTTGATAGTGTAATTTATTATGAATCAATTCAGACCAACATTGTTGCCAATGGTTGCCAAGGTGGCTAGAGATTACAGCCAATTAATCTGAGAATGGAATACCTCTATATGAAACTGAAAGGTCATGTACCGCTGTCCAAGCAGCAGAGTTCACCTGCTAGTTACCCTGAACATCAACATGACCAGGGACCCAGCAGAAAATTATTTTTTTTTCCTAGAAATGTGGCACAAGCTAAGTTGTATATGAAGAACTACAGAATGAGGTGAATTAAATATTTTGATAGCTTGCAAAGCACTAAAGGAGTCTGAGACTACCACAAATGTTGAGGCAGGCCTGGATCCAATACGAATAATTGCTATGAGAACTGCATACGGTTCAGCTGTGAAAATGCTAACCAAGTCTAATAAATAACCTCGCACAACACTGTCCGGGAACATTGCTGCAAACCCGACACCATCAGAGGATTTAGAACCATCGGTATAAATTGCAACGGTACGAGAATGAGACTAGAAGTGGTTAAGAAAAAGGGAAGAAGCTACTGTAGGTATTTGAGCTTTTGTGCATGGCAGTGGGGAAGAAGAGACAAACTCCTGGAACCTTCCAAGGGGAAAGATAAAAGTTAGAAGTCAAGAAAGAGTGAAGATGAAGAGAAAAGGGGCAGAGTAAACAGTGGAGGTGATCCTGGGTGAACCACCCAGTATAACCCAAGAAAGTCAGTTTGTCATCGAGGACTGTTTGTCTTATTTCCATTGGGGCACTTCAATCTTGTTCACCAGGATGCATTATTATATATAATCATGTGGGGGGAGGGATGGAAGGTATTCAGGATCATTTCAGGGAGCCAGAGCACAGATACAATTACCTAGATCAAGAGCACCCTCTCAAGGAACCTCCCTTGAGAGGGTGCACCAGGATGCAACCCATGCCAGTTGACTAACAGCCAGGTACCTACTGTGTGAGAGGCCTACTGAGCCAAGGGAGCTATTTTGCTCCTAAATGCCTGGAGCACATTGCATATTATTTTATAATTATTATTATATTTATAGAGGGAATGCCAAACCCATATGATTCATAATGCCTACTGAACTGGAGCACAGGACCAATTCCTTAGATCAAGATCCCTCACTCACATCTAAGGACCTCCCTTGTGGGGCCACATTGTGTAAATTCTTGCTGGATTACAGTATTGGGAGTGAGAACAATGCTACAACTTGAATTGAGGAAGAAACATCTGTAGATTGTGACAAGGTGTTGATAGTGCTGAGAAGGGTAAGACTGTTATACATCAACAGTTTATACCTCTCTGGTGTGGTGAATACTCTTTGGAGGCATACCTTCAATTTATTTGGGTTCTTGATGCCCTAACCAGGCACCAACCTAGTAGGAGAGTGAGAGGAGGGAGTTCTTGTCTGTAGGCTGTCTTCTGAGTGAGAACGGGTACTAGTCACATGGGCTCACCTCAGTGCCCAGCCCCTTGGTGGGTGCTCTAGGAAACAGGTCCACAGAGGCAGCTCCACTAGCTGGAGTTATGGGAAACAGATATGGGATAGGCATACTGTCTACAGTCATCCTGTTCATCATCATGGAAAGTGACAATAGGCATCTCACTTGAGGGTATGTAAAGATACATGGTGTAACTCCCAGATTAGAAAGACAGCCGCTAGTAATACTTCCATCATGCAAGGAGGCGTGAAGCACGACATCAAGGTCCATGATGGAACACAGCCAATAACATTATTATTATAATCAAGGGGGAAGCGCTAAACCCGTAGGATTATACAGCGCCCAGGGGAGGGGGGATGTGGAAGGCATTCAGGCTTAATTCGGGGAACTGGAGCACAGATCCAATTCCCTAAATCAAGAGCCCCTCACCAACATCAAGGAGCCTTCCTTGAGGGGACAGCCAATAACAATCCTGTTCCCTTATACCTAGGAGCTGAAATTCACCAAGAAATGTTCCTAATAAAGAGGTTAAATGGAGATAGATTCGATTTGAAGAAGGAAACAAAGTTTAATTCCTTCTGATGGACAGGTTTTTTAATTAAGCAGTCTCATCTTCACTGTGCAGCATTCCTAAAAATACAGTTACTGACTGATTACAGAAAATGTATTAAAAAACTAATATGGCTAATTCTCACCATATTCTGGTCAAAGTCATGTTAAATTCACAGATCTAATACAAAGTCTTCATTTTATGCAGTATACACAGTTATTGTTAAAGGATAATTAGAAATAATGTAAGTAAAGCTTTTTATTCATCTCACAACAATCAGAGCAACACTTCTGGGTGAAACTTCAGCATCAAAAACCTTTTCTAACCAAACATTAGTATAACCACTTTCTTTGAGGTAGACTAAACGGTCTACATATACTAATGCTTCCATCACTGGCTGTAAGGCCAACTGTAGACCAGTGATCGGCTCAATCAATGGGAACAAGTGCTGAAATTCTTCATAACATTTTTCCAAGGCATTTTTAATGTAGTCTTGAGTTATGTTCAGTACTTCTCCTGTTGCTGATATATTATGATCTTGGCAAGATGTTGAATCCATAGATTTGAATGTGTTTTCATCATAATTTATTTTATTACTTTCTCCTCTTTGAAAAGATAATATAGTGTCTTCAAGAGGCACATTTTTTTCATTACCTCTTGCTATATGTACAGCACCATCTGATGATATAAACTCATAATTCATGGTAACATTTTTGATGTAATCACTGAAGCCTTCAAACTGCGATTTTCTTACACAACGACGTCTAAGTTTTCTCAAGGTGAAGCCCTCTGAAATATTAATTATTATTATTATTATTATACAGTAGTGATTTCTCATTCATTTATGGTTAGAATCAAAAGGAGAAAATAACTCAAATTTCTTTGATCAAGACATTCACTAGCATCATGGCATCTGCCATCTTTCCTTCCCTTCTATGAATATAAAATAAATGAACATTCTTATGTTGTGGAAGAGTGTGTGTCATGGATGTCTACGTACAGCTGCGTCTGACTGATAACTAGTTGGGTGACCACACTGAAATAACAGCACAGCTAGCTCAGTGTATCACTGTTACTCCTGTCAACATGTGCAGCTCCAATGTAATAACACAAGTTGTGTATCACTGTTACTTCTATCAACACATGCAGCTCCAATGTAATAACACAGCAAGTTGTGTATCACTGTTACCTTTATCAACACATGCAGCTCCAATGTAATAACACAAGTTGTGTATCACGCGCGTGCACACACACACACACACACACACACACACACACACTCACACACACCACCTACACACACACACACACACACCTACACACACACACACACACACAACACACACACACACCACACACACACACACACACACACACACACACACCTACACACTACACACACACACACCTACACACACACACCTACACACACACACCTACACACACACAACCTACACACACACACCTACACACACACCTACACACCCAACACCTACACACACACACTACCACACACACACCTACACACACACACACACACACACACACACACACACACACACACACACACACACACACAACTCACACACACACACACACACACACACACACCTACACACGGCCTGGTTGTCAAATCGACATGTGCCTAGGACAAAATGGTAACTAACACACACCTACACACACAACAGGCCTAGTGTCAAATCGACATGTGCCTAGGACAAAATGGTAACTAACACAACAGGCCTAGTGTCAAATCGACATGTGCCTAGGACAAAAATGGTAACTGTTACCTTTATCAACACGTGCAGCTCCAATGTAATAACACAAGTTGTGTATCACTGTTACTTCTATCAACACGTGCCGCTCCAATGTATAAACACACCTGAGTGACCTCTTCAATCACAATAGAAACAGACTACTAATCACCTTATACAAACACATGAATCTTTGGTGACAATATCAATGACATAATCTGCAACAATAAACTAAACATTTAACACAATATTAGCTAGAGACTTCAACATCAATCTCCTTAACCTGAATTTAATAAAGATCAAAATATTATGTCCAAATATTCCTACAAAAAATTCAAATCCTCTACAAAAAGCACTGCTTTCTAAAATAGAAACAGATCACAATTTAGAGATTAAATTGTCCATGGCTAACCAAGAGCATCTTAGATCCACACACTACAGAGAGAGATAGGGGAGGGGGGCATGGCTGCCGGCATGGCTGCTGGCATGGCTGCCGGCATGGCTGCCTGCCTGGCTGGCTGGTTGGCTGACTAAGTGATTGACTGACTGATTCTCACTATTAATATTACTACTATTCTTTACTAATACTACATACACTGCCATTATTGTTTCCCCAAGGTTTCCAATACTACATCTACAGTCATATTTCTACCTCTACCCCTGCTGCACTACTACTACTACTACCACAATTTCATTTACTACCACTCCCTCTGTCACTTCTCGTATATAATCTAGACTCCTACCTCTCACTTCAGTGTGACTTGTTAATGAGGTAGGAAAAGTTAAGTGCAGGGGAACAATAAATTAGTAGGGAGTAGTGGTAGTGTCATTGATGGTGGTAACAGTGTCAGCGATGGCATCAGGGGTGGTGGTGGTGGTGTCAGTATCACATCAGTGGTGGTGGTGTCAGTGATCGCATCAGTGGTGGTGGTGGTGTCAATGGTTGCATCAATGGTGGTGGTGGATGGTTGTATCAGTGGTGGGGGATGGTTGTGTCAGTGGTGGTGGATGGTTGTGTCAGTGGTGGTGGATGGTTGTGTCAGTGGTGGTGGATGGTTGTATCAGTGGTGGTGGATGGTTGTGTCAGTGGTGGTGGATGGTTGTGTCAGTGGTGGTGGATGGTTGTGTCAGTGGTGGTGGATGGTTGTGTCAGTGGTGGTGGATGGTTGTGTCAGTGGTGGTGGATGGTTGTGTCAGTGGTGGTGGATGGTTGTGTTCAGTGGTGGTGGATGGTTGTGTCAGTGGTGGGATGGTTGTGTCAGTGGTGGTGGATGGTTGTGTCAGTGGTGGTGGATGGTTGTGTCAGTGGTGGTGGATGGTTGTGTCAGTGGTGGTGGATGGTTGTATCAGTGGTGGTGGATGGTTGTGTCAGTGGTGGTGGATGGTTGTGTCAGTGGTGGTGGATGGTTGTGTCAGTGGTGGGGGATGGTTGTGTCAGTGGTGGTGGATGGTTGTGTCAGTGGTGGTGGATGGTTGTATCAGTGGTGGTGGATGGTTGTGTCAGTGGTGGTGGATGGTTGTGTCAGTGGTGGTGGATGGTTGTGTCAGTGGTGGTGGATAACCTCATCCTAAGGAGCATTTGTACAGTTTTACTGCCAGTTGCTGTTATCTGGAAGTATAATCTTTCACAAACCCCAACAAGAGGAATAAAGGCCCAACTTGAGGGAAAAGTAAGGACATCTGATGGGCCATCTTGCCCTAACCATCAGCCAGGGAACAATATGATAATTATGACAACACATGTGAAGAACTGCATTTTATATTTACAGCATAGTTTAAAGAAATTTTATAAATCACGGAGACTTTGTATTTAATTGATTTTTTTTTTTTTCAACAAGTCGGTCGTCTCCCACCGAGGCAGGGTGACCCAAAAAAGAAAGAAAATCCCCAAAAAGAAAATACTTTCATCATCATTCAACACTTTCACCACACTCACACATTATCACTGCTTTTGCAGAGGTGCTCAGAATACAACAGTTTAGAAGCATATACGTATAAAGATACACAACATATCCCTCCAAACTGCCAATATCCCAAACCCCTCCTTTAAAGTGCAGGCATTGTACTTCCCATTTCCAGGACTCAAGTCCGACTATAAGAAAATAACTATAAATGACTATAAATATTATATATTAGGGCAACATCTGAAATATTTGAAAATGTGGGAGTAACTTATTTAATAATTAAAAAAATTTACCTCTGATGCAAAAAACTTCAAGAAGTCCTCTATATGCAACATTTTTCTTATGATTTTCATGATCTTCCGATGTCTGCTGCCTCCATCGCAAACCCGACTCTTGCGCCGCAAGTCGGAGACCAAACACTGACATGTTAAAGTCATTTTGATTTAGCATGTTTCTTAAAGCAGCACTCATGGGGAAATTTACAAAACTAACTTCATTTGCAATGGAACCTTCTCTCTCAGTTGTATCACAACAAACTTTTTCAAAACTTGTTTCAACTTTCATGTATGGATCAGAGCCATCACAATAGTTGCTTTCATTTCCCAAAGAATTTTTTGGGATATTTGCTGGATGAATTTTGTGGTAGCAACATGACAGTAATACTAGTGAGGAGACTTGTGGACACTCTTTAAATATTTTGATCATGACAGGGGAGAGATCTGCACAAGCATGAAGACCAAGAAGTATAGCAGAACTGTGGGGCTGACAAACATCTGCAGGCACCACTGTCTCTGCATTATCCCTGTTTATGGAGGATACTTCAGTTTCAGGTTCATTGTCAACAGTCATTAGTAAATTTTCACTTGCATTACTGGATAATGAACATGACTTTTTGTGTTGACAAGTGCAATTTTCATTTAAATGAATTAATTCTATTATCACTTGCTTGGCTTTCTCAATGGTCACCTCATCATCTGCCAGGGTCCAAGTAAAGTGTCTGACACCTTTACACTTGCCTGAGAGCTGCTGGTGTCTATTATTTGCACTTCTCACATTCTTATCCTCACTTTCAGCACCAAAAACTGTAAGCTTTAGTGAATGATGAAGAAGAGAGTCGATGTATCCCTGTGAAAGGAAAATACATGTACTATCAATTTTTTATAAAAAGTTAAAGTTATGGAAGGAGAGAGTAGTGTAAGCACATCTTTTTTTTTGAACAACAGTGAGTTTTTTTCCCACAAAGGGAGGATGACCCAAAAAAAGTTAACATACTGACCATTTCTCATTCACTAGCTGTTTTGTCAGAAATCAGCAGACATCGTATTAAACCAAAATAGCCTGGAATATGAAATACAGCATCCATAGCACACATTCAGCTGCTAATTTTAAAGTTCCCAAGGAACTCAGGACTTCAACAGATCAGAATCCCTGGGCTACTGTGGATCACATCACCAAAATCCCTAATGCATCGCCAATGCTAAAGATCACACCTTTACTGATGTAAACATAGCTGCCCAAGCTCTTGTTAATGGTATGCAAGGCATGATAAATAAATATTAATTAATGAAATCAGAAAATATAATCCAACTGATAATATTATGTCATAAAATTACGGTCAATACTGACAAAATTCTCTGGTCCTGATTCAGCAGTGTTTCTTGATAGAAACCATCTGAAACTGATGTGGCTGTTCAGGAAACATGCTTATTTCTTGTGGAAAGTGATATTATACTGGTCGGCCATCACTAATCCGGCATCACTGGGACCTGTAGTGTGCCGGATTAGTGAGTTTGCCTGATTACAGAGCAGTTAGGTTAGAAAACACTTAATTAACCTATCAATAGAGACTCTTTCTGCTAAATCTTACTCATTTTCATCACTGCTTTCTCCTCCACTGGCTTGCTACTGTGGATTTACAATCATCTGCACAATTTCTGAGTCAGTTTAATGATGAGATTTGAAATTATGCTAGCCAAAATTAGTGCCCGATTATTGATGGAACCGGATAACTGCCAGATTAGATTAATGATGGCCAACCTGTATAGACATCTTAACCATAATTACACGAAAGTAATACTAATAATAAAGATGCAGTGAACAAAGACACAGTGGTGGTGGGTGGCTGGGTCACTGGTTGCTGCCTCACCACCAACAACCATAACACATGCACTACCACCCACAGTCTTACATCACTTCCTCCATTAATATTTATTATTCTAAGTTAGATTAGGGTGGGATGGGCTAAGTGCTGAAAATAGTGGAGTGCTGGGGCTGCAGCCAGCAACCAACCTTTACTGGGTAGCATCATTATTATTATTGCTATTATGGCTGGTATAATGATAAATAACAAGATAACTTGTACTGCACTGTACTGTAATTTCATACACTAGTATACCTCAGCCATCCAAAATTATTTAATCAACATTTTTTTATTTTTAACTTTTTCAGTGGCTATCGTGTAGATCTACGTTATTGATGCCGGGTCCCTCACGTAGATCTACACTTTAAGCACAACTGTCTCAGATAATCCTAGACATGAGAGAATGAGTCTTTGTGGCGAGTGTTTACCTGGAGAGAGTTCCGGGGGTCAACGCCCCCACGGCCTGGTCTGTGACCAGGCCTACTGGTGGATCAGAGCCTGATCAACCAGGCTGTTACTGCTGGCTGCATGCAATATAAAATAATCCTGCATCACCTAGTGCATACTGGGAAATGCAAAACTCTGACCCTGTTTGGTTTAAAATGGCAAATTTGAGGTGTTTTCTAGGATAATTTTTATGGTCTTATTGGCTATTTCTTCCTATCCTTTGATAGACTGGAAGAAATATTACTGAAATACAGATAATTCTGAATGGATTCAGGACCAGAAGTATCTTGAAACTGAGCTCAAAAGCAGCAGAAATAGTATTTTTTTTTCCAGACTTTCCTAATAGGTATGCCCTCCTTACACACCCCTCCCCCATCCATTTTATGGGTTTTTAACCCTTTGACTGTCGAAGGGCCAAATCCTGAAGTTGCTTCTGGTGTCGCAAAATATTCGAAAAAAAAAAAAATTATTTTTTCTTATGAAATGATAGAGAATCTTTTCCCGATTGTAAAGACACCAAAAAAACGAAATTTGATGGAAAACTGACGGAATTACGCTCTCGCGAAGTTAGCGACTTCGGCGATATTTAAAAATCGGCAATTTCGCCCACTTTGAGCCTTATTTTCGGCTAATTCCGTTATTCCAGTCAACCAAACTCATAACTATTTCTTCAGAACTCTATTTTTTCTATCGATTGAGTACAAGAAACTGCCCATTTACCGATTTCAACTACCCAATACATGGTCAGAAATTTGCAATTTGGCCAATTTCACGAAAATTAAAAAATACGACAATTTCAAAATAAGGTCCAGAATGAACAATGCAGACATTCCTGGCTCTAAAATAACATTTTCTTTGTTCATCAGTCATGTCTCCAGGTCCCTGTGATATTACTCTTGCTTTTTATTTTGAAATTTTATTCAAACAAAAAATAGAAGATTTACTGTAATGCAGACTACTGCAATACTGTAATAATTGTAAAAATTACATCAACCCATTCATGACTGCGTATTAGAATGGCTATTTGGACATTTATTGGACAATGACATCATTTGTTCACTTTTGAACATCGGCAAAAATCAAACATTTCCTGTACTTTGTGCTCCATTTCCAGGTTCTTTTTATAGTAAAATTAATCAAAATCACCTCCATTTCTATAATATAGTTTCCATTCTATCAAATGAGACCAAGAAAACGAGAATACAACCACAAATACTATACGAAAATAGACCACAAAGTCGGCATTTTAATTAAAAAAAACGGTCGGAGTTTTTTTTTTCTCATTATGCACTGCGTGCTCCAGGATTTTTTTTATGTGGTGCACACTGACCACACAGACCCATTCTCTCACATGTGGGCCTACTAGCTTTCTCCTGCCTGATTTGAAGCCGCTAGAATTTATGAGTATATATACGTCAAACACGGTACCTCGCAAACGTATATATACGGCCGCGACAGTCAAAGGGCTAATAGATCTGATTGAATTATTGGGATGCTGTAAACCATGCCCAATAATTCATGGTTATATTTCATTGTCTTAGAAACAGGGTAAATCTTTCATTGTGTGATAAAATCAAAATGATAAGCAAATGTAACAGAGGAGAGGTCTGGGGATGTGATTAACTCTTTGACTGTTGCAAGCCCCTTTCTGAAACTGTCATTCGATGTCGCAAAAGTTTTGGAAAAAAAAAAAAAAAAGATTCTTTCTTATGAAATGATAGAGAATCTTTTCCCGATGGTAATGACACCAAAAGTACGAAATTTGGTCGAAAACTCACGGAATTACGCTCCCGCGAAGTTAGCGGTCTTGGCGACATATACGCATCGGCAATTTCGCCAACTTTGAGCCCTGTTTTTGGCCAATTCTGTCATTCCAGTTGACCAAACTCATAGCTATTTCTTTAGAACTCCATTTTTTCTATCAGTTGAGTACAAGAAACCGCCCATTTACCGATTTGAACTACCCAATATAGTGGTCAGAAATTGGCAATTTGGCCCATTTCATGCAAATTAAAAAAGATGCCAATTTCAAAATAGGGTCTGGAATAAACAATGTAGACATTCTTGGCACTAAAATAACATATTCTCTGTTCATTAGTCACATCTCTAGGCCCCTCTTATATTACTATTGCTTTCTATTTTGATTTTTTATTCATACAAAAAAAATACAAAATTTACTGTTATGCAGATTACTGCATTATTGTAAAAATGGTATAAATAATATCAGTGCACTAGTGAAAGAATATTAGACTCCCCAGTTGATGTGTATTGGATGTGTGGTGTGATTTGCTTACTCCTGAACACTGGTAAAAATTGAACATTTCCGCTACTTTGAGCTCAATTTCAAGGTCGTTTTCATCGTGAAAGCAATGAAAATCATCTCTATTTCTGTAATATGTTTTCCATTTTATCACCTAAGACCATGAAAATGAGAATACAGGTCTCCCTCAACATTCACGTTTTCAACTTTCATGGGCTTCACACATTCGCGAATTCCCAACCGCCAAATTCCCAGCCACCAAATTCCCAGCCGCCAAATCATATTTAAGTTTCCCGCCACCTGCGAGTCCCTACTACCCTCCCTCCGACCCCTGCAACTGGCAGCCAGCCCTCCCACCACTCAGTGTGGTGAGTGTTTTGTTTGTTCATTATTTGCTATTAAACTACAGAATAAATAATGTAAACCCATTCATGACTGCATATTGGAATGGCTATTCGGACAGGTATTAGACGGTGACATCATGTGTTTACTCTTGAACACAGCAAAGAATTAAACATTTCTGCAACAGCTAATAATAACAATAGTAATAATAATAATAATAATAATAATAATAATAATAATAATAATAATAATAATAATAATAAATATGATATAATTGAAGAAGGAAATTGTACAAAAATACGAGGGAGTGGTTGACACATCGTCAGTGTGACTGTTTATGCTGGAGTGAGCATTAGTTTCCGTGCTCTTCCAAACATTTCACAATAATTCATTGTGTTTGGTGCTTGTAGATTGAGTGTGACTGGAGTGGTAGAGGCAGTGATTGAGGCAATGGTATTTAATAACATACATGTTAATAATAATACATGTTATTAATAATATGTACTATTATTATTTATAACATATATGTTATTAAATACATACATGTTAATAATAATACATGTTATCAACAAATTTTGTTGAAAATAAGAAAAAGTTTTGGAGTGAGATTAACAAGTTAAGAAAGCCTAGAGAACAAATGGATTTGTCAGTTAAAAATAGGAGAGGAGAGTTATTAAATGGAGAGTTAGAGGTATTGGGAAGATGGAGGGAATATTTTGAGGAATTGTTAAATGTTGATGAAGATAGGGAAGCTGTGATTTCGTGTATAGGGCAAGGAGGAATAACATCTTGTAGGAGTGAGGAAGAACCAGTTGTGAGTGTGGGGGAAGTTCGTGAGGCAGTAGGTAAAATGAAAGGGGGTAAGGCAGCCGGGATTGATGGGATAAAGATAGAAATGTTAAAAGCAGGTGGGGATATAGTTTTGGAGGGGGTTGG